TGTAATCCTGCACCTTAAATTTAAGAAAACAGGAATCGACGGGAAAAGATTGGAGGTTGACATGACCGGGTCAAAGAAAGTGAAAATACAATGGCCAATTTAATGTTTGGAAATATAAATAATCTTAAACCTTACTTTTTGTGTTTGCAGAATAAAACCGACCTTACTTCATCTTAACATTTTTTTTTTTTAAAAGAAAATTAAGTGATTATAAGATTTCATTATGTATAAATTATGAGTTCTTTTTATTGGTTTTGTGTCAAATTTCTAGTTGGTGTTTTCTGGTTAATTCCGTTTTTTACCTGTTTGTAAAAGATTATAAATGATAATTATAAATTTAATGTTTGTTGGACTGTTCATAATTTTTTTCTGGTTTTGATTATCTGATGGTGACAAATTTTACAATCAAAGTGTTTTAACATACTTTAAAAGAAATTTTTATTTACGTGTTTTTAACAGCCATCTGTGGACAACCGAAATGTGCTATTCTAGGCCGGATAATGCACATGCGACTGCCCGCCATTGAGACATAACAGAAGACTGGGAACTCACGAAAACAGTAGCAAATATGCTAGAGTAGGCTGAAAAAATGAGTGAGGACCAGCGTAGACTCATATGTAAACAACATAACAATGCTGGATTTTAAAGAAATATTAAACTCGCCATTTTATCTCTGGATCTCCTTCAAGCAAGCAACCTAAAGAGTCGGAAAGTACTGCAAACCGAGCTATTGTAACAATCTTGGTTTACATATAACACCATCATCTTCGCTTATACTCTTTTGATACATCCAAAAACAAATTTAACAATTTAGAATCCCTGCATATTTGCGTAATACCACTTTTAGCCACAGAATAGTAATTAGAATGACATTTGGAAGTCTTCTCCCCCCATCTTAGGACGTATTAATAGTGATTTTAAAGGCTTGACAGGAAGAAATTTCGATGAAAAATTCGATTTTGACAGATTATTTGAAAAATCTTTAACGGAGTGATTTCTTACTGGGAGATGGGATCTCTAAAGTTGAACGACAATATCTATGTAATCAATTTGAAAAAATTGATTATGACAGATCTGAATTTTTAGGGATCTGACGAACTTCTCGATAATGTAGTATAGATGGAGAGTTGTTTGATGCGTCTATTTGACGATATATCGATAGAGTTCATTTTTATAGGGTAGTAGATTCAAGTCGACTTATGGAAATATTACCGAATTTTATTGTTTTAGAAAACTTGGCATTTTCATTAATCAAGAATATCGGATTTATGATAGGTAAATGGGGTAGACGCGAGTAATTCTAATTGAGGCCAAAGTTTTAAAATGAAATTGGGCGCAAGGCCCAGAAACATATTATTCGGAAGAAATTTTTCGTTTGGGTAACGGATAAATTTCGATGAAAATGAAGTAGATTGAAACACGTAATTTATGCTAATCGACTTATAAATGTGTTTATATAAATAGGTCCTGTAGCTCACTAGGTAACTACGGACTAATTTAAATAAAAGACTAAAAAATTCAGATTATTCACTTTGCTATTAAATAACAAATATATCTCGATCACTAGATTACTCTTCGAATAATAAAAATTGAAGCAATAACTTCAAGAGAATTATCATAAACACAAAATACTATCAAAATAGATTTGAAATAAAAGACATCGAGAAAGACAAAAATACAATTATATTTGTTGTATTGAAAAACCGATGAAAAATCCATAAATCAATTGAAAACAAATATTAACATTTATTTAAACTAAACCACCGACCGAAGGGCGGACGCCAAAGAGCACACTACTCTCACCAACAGAACTTATAAGAAAAACACACGAAAGAAAAGAGAAAATATGGAGAAAGAGGTAGATCTCTAGTGAGATCTCTCTCTCGCTCTTCTTCTCAACAAAAAATCACACTCAGACTCATTTTCTCTCGTTCATCTCGACACCGGCACACCAACTCATTCGAGAATGAACAAATGTAACTATACTATAAGAGTTATATATATAATCTACTACACAATCAAGGCACGAAGTATTATCAGCCTTCAGAATTTGACGCTGAAATCTGTGTCGTAATTTTGAAAAGGCACACGCAGCTTGATAGATTCAGCACCCGGTGTGTAATGCCTTTATCTTCGGCAATTTCAATAAGTCTGTAATTCCAGGCAGTCTATGACGGCAAGCAATTCAGGTGAGTACGCAAATGCCACCCTCCTTCTTCTCTCTTTCATTTGAGGTTCATACGTACAACTCGCTAAAAATCAGCCACGTTAATCGGGAAAACCCAAATGGGTTCAACCGAATTTCCCGTCAATTTCCAGCCAAATAGTTTTCCATACCCCACACAATTTGGATTGACATACATATTAGTCGATCCTCTATACGTCATTTTCTTTTGAAAAAAGAAAAGAAAACGACATAAATGAACTATTGTCGGTTAGTTATTTTGGATCAACGATTTGAGCATATTCCAGGCCATAAGGATGCACAGAGACGGATGGGCGATCGGCTGGTAATCACCACGTGCGACCGGACTAAACTCATCAGGGGCGAGAGGCCTTCGAAGAGATACGTAATGTTCTTCCTTTCGCATAAGCAGGTAATTGAACGGACATAAATGTGATTATTTCATCGGTACTGTATATACTCAAAAAGCCCTTCAATTCGCAATTCTCGAATAACTCCGATTATATTATATTAATGAACATTACTCTACAGTATTTAAGTAACATTAAATTAAATAATGTTAAGTGTGTGTTTAATGTAGGAATATTAATTGATACTATGGACGGCTAGCGTGAAAATATAAATTCTACTAATGAAAATTTTAGGAATATATTATTTAACAAATAAAATAGTTATAGATCAATTAATTATCCAATAGGAAATCTAATGATGATTAAGTGACTGAAATGAATGACGGTTATGCGCGCGAGACCGAGATTAGTGGATTATGAATTTGCCCGATGGATGGGCCTGTGCGTGTGGATTTTGATGAAAATTTTGATAAATTGGGTAGTACAGTTTAGAGAGGAAATGTTTGCGCGATCGAATTTTTATAAAGACCACTAATGATAAAATTAATAATCATAGTTAGATATATATTTACTTAAATAAGTAGTAACGACCTAAACTTAAGTATTATGATTATTATCAGCATTTAGGAAATAATCATTATATATTTCATTATAACATTAGAGATTTTTTCTCAAAGGGTTATTAAAAAGTATGTAATAAACTCAAATTAGCTTAGGGAAACTATAGTATACTAGAGAAATATAAAAGGGTTTAGTTGATAATGGTGAGTAAAGCGAATAGTTAAACCAAAATAATAATTAAGGTAAAAGTACGTTTCTTGAATGAAATCTTAATGTAGAATTTTCTTATTATGTTAGATGTTTATAGATTCCGAAGGTGGAGACAAATGCGGGAAGCGGTGCAGTTAATAAAGATATTTGTCCTTTGAAGGACAATAAAGCACTGTGAGTAGTGAGAATAACTAGTATGGCATCGCCTGCATTCCATGCATTTCACGGTAAATGCTATAATATGCCACTATATAATGTGTTGAAATTAAGTCCATATTTTGATGCTCGCCACTATTTTGTGGGTGATATTAAATTAAATTATGTGATTACTTGGGTGCTGTGTATATACTGTGCTCTTTCGCTTATATGTGTGCGAAGTTGGTATAATTAGTGGGCCCTCGATGGGTGTTTTGTGGAGGAAAGTTTGTCTGTGATATATGGATCCTGAGCTATGACTACTGAAATATGATTATTGACCGTCGGCCCGGGAAAATGGGAGATGTTCCGGCGAGCCCCCACGTGTGTCACCTGATGATAATGGATTATCACCTGAGACACACAGACATACACACAGATGGCTCTTGTTCTTGTTGCGCCTTAACATTGAGGTAACTGAGATTTGATTGTAGCCCGCAGGGTGGCCTCCCTGTTGGTGAGCACTTGAATGATTAGATTGGATGGGACCACCGGGTTGCTCTGTTGTCTGGAAAAGAAAAGAGGGAATGGAAAAACAATGAAGAGGACTGGTCAGTGAGGATTGACCCATTAGCGTATGGGGGACGGGCTGCTGGTGCAACATGTTATGAGAGGGGCGAGCCATGTGTGAGGACGTGCTCGTTGGGTTTTAGGTGGTGGGGTGCCACTCGACCTAATTTCCACGTGATGTGATTATATGAGGTGATAATAATTGTGATATGTTTGTGTGTATTGGCAGTTTGGGTGTGACAAACTGCATGATCATATACTAAACGAGTGACCAAATTTAAAATATTTTAAAGCATTTGTGTGATTGGTGTGGGGTGAGAGGTTATCTTCACCCTACTCATTGAGATTTGGGCGCTCATACCCCCTGCTACTATTTTTTTTTCACCAGGTAATAGAAAGAAGGGAAAGCATAATGGAGTTGAAACACGTATTATAAGTAAGTAGTTTGTTAATGGATAGAAATTAGGACGCATGTGGTACTGTAAATTGGTAGAGTTTCGCGCAATGTTTATTCCAGTTGGGTTGTAAATAAATAGTAAGAAAGTTTCATGTTTAATATATGAATGTATATTTGGGGAGATGCAATATGTTAATAATAAGTTAAGTGGGCTGAATCCATAATTATGAATAGAATGTGGGAGTTTTAAATAAAGTTAGGCTTTACTAACGGGCCTTTGGGAGGCCTTCAGCCCACCCATGGGGGTCCCCCCTCCTAGTGCCGGTCCGCGGTCCCATAGAAATGGGTCGTAGAGATATAGAGTATCAGAGCCTAAGTTGGGCCTTAGGTTTAATCAATTGGCGGAACATAGGACAGATTAATAGAGAGCCTCCTATGTTGGGATCGGCGTTGAACAGTTAACGGGTGGTAGTCTTGGATTGAATTCCATTTTAGTGCCGGTTGACGATCATGCACGGCGAGGAATGGAAGGAATTATAAATGAAACTTAGGATGAGGAATTAAATGTATTAAGTAATAGTCAATCATAAAAAGGTCGGGTAACTGACGGTTTATGAAATAAAAAGCATTTCGGTTTTGCTAAATCCGCTCCATCTATTTTGAAGCAGAGGATCAGTAGGAAATTGGGTGTAATGGCTGATCACCCAGTACACCATGATCTCGATCAGAGACACTGCTTCAAAACAAATTTATTTGAAATTTTTAGAAAAGAATTCGGAGTTTTTAAGAAGCAATAAGAAAGCTAAAATTTATTTTGACACTATGATTTGAGAAACATGTTTTTTATTATTTGCTTATTGGAAAATTTGTTTTGAGTTGCAATTATTGTTTGGTTTTATTGTTTTGGTCGGCATGTAAACCATTTATCTGGATTTTAGAATTTAGATTTATTTACAATGATTGGCAATGTTTTTGAATTTTTTAATCATATTGGTCTATCCCGAGGACTAAATTAGGCCTAATGGAAGAAAGGGTTATATTGTAATTAAATAATTAAATGGTAATACCTGAATATGAATTTTGGATTTAAAATTTTCATTAAGATATAAGATTAAATTCTTAGAAATGTTACTTGTTAGGCGATAAAAGTGAAAATTGTAATGTACATTTAAATTAAGGTTTAGCAAAAGAAGGATTTAGGACAAATAGGTCATGACTAGACAAGAAATCCTCATATAACCAAGCGAAACTTAAGGATTGTAAAGAGAAAATTTGTACTTACTTAAGCTATAACATTAAAGGAGGAATAGAGACTTTATTGGAAAAATGTAAATAGAAGTTCTAGAGCGTGGAACAATAATTTTTGTGTCTAAGTCAATAAAAAGCATATGATTGAGGTGAATCTCGACATATAGAAATTTTAAATAGAGCGCATTAGTGAATTAAAATAAAAGACAAAGGTAAACTAATTATGCGTGATTAAAATATGAAGAAAATAATTTTTACTGGAATAAGGTCATATGTGAGGTGAGGCAAGATAATATACATAAGGAACGGGTTTAAAGAACTTCTTTGCACAACTCGTAATGAAGGGGTAAGATTTTGGGTGTTTTTAAATATAGAATTAATAAGTAAAATTGGTTGGTATAATTGGGCCAAAAGTTTTGAAATGAAAATTGTGATTAATAGTAGAAAAGAGTGACTAATAGTATAATAGAAAGTAATTACAAGTCATGGAATAATTATGAATCTTTTTATAATAAAATGAGCATTAGATTTGAAGTCGATAATAGACTTATGACATAATGTGTAACTAGAGAGATAGTTGAGTATATATCCTAAATTTTAATAAGGTGGAAAGTGTAGTAAGTGTGATTAGATGATTATATAATTTAAGATCCTAGCCATGTAGGATGCTTAAACGGGCTAGACACTAAAGTTCATAAAAATCTATTTATAATAAAATGGAAATGTAGAAGATGATGAATAATGGAGAATGAATGGGGAATAGGGAGCGTGGATGCCTGGTAGGAAGCTTAATAAATTAAAGGAAATTGGGATGTATCTAGGGTAGAGAGTTTACTGTAGAAAGGACTAATACATTTAATTTAATCTAAGGTAATCGATAAAGAAAACGTATATAAAACCTGCTTTAAAGCATTCAGTACAAATTTTCAGAATTGCGAGGTGCTATTAAAATAAAAATAAATAAAATAAAGTTATAAATTTGGAAGAAGATAAAGGTTCAAAGATAACTCATAATGATGGAAGGTAGAGATAAAAAATGCATGGGATAAATAAGTAACTAAATAAATAAAGAATAAACTAATGAATATAATATAAATATAAATATACATAAAATCACTACTGAAAATAACTTTGGGAAAATTTAAGGTGTGGACCATCTACTTTGAGAGACTAGTAATAGCGAAAGGAAATGTAATGAATGGAGATTAGAATATTCTTGGTTTAAGAGGATCATTTAGGGATTGAAATATGGTAACAGTAGACTGGAACTTAAGATGATTTTAAGGATTGTCTCGTGGAGATAGACAATTTCCATTTTTGTTTAAATACAAAAGGTTTTAGGAAAATAAAAATGAAGGGTATTGATTTTTCAAACTTTATGAAAATATTTTTTATACACGATTGGAGATTGGTTTAAATAAAAGTAAGTAAATGCAAATTTCTATTAAAAGAATTTCAAGTTTTTGTGAGTGACATGCCGATGTTTTTAAAAGTTGGAAAGGAAATTACTTTTGAAAGTTTTTAAGATGGTCAACCTAGGCTGTAGTTGTCAACTCATTAGTCGAATTTTGAATAAACAATTAATCTAATAATTTATAACGGTGAAACAATGTATAGTGGAAGTATGAATAAATGAGGACTCTTAAATTACTCAAAAATCCTTAGTTAGTAGACACATTCGATGAAATTCATATGAGATAGTTAGTATTGTAGGCTATTAGTATAAATGAATCTATTGAGGCAGAAATTTCTGAAGAATAAGAGATACAAATCAATAAAACTTAGAGATAGATACCTTAAGAACCGAAATTTTTAGTACTATAGACTATAATGAGTTGTGACAAATCAGAATTTAAGAGACTCGATATGTAAATTTAAACTTTCAGATAATTCACGAGATGTAAACAACCCATAAATGTATTAAACAATTAAACTTCAAGAGGAAAGTTCGAAAATAGTTGTTAAATTAGTGAAATGTATAGGTATTAGTTGATATTAGTTGAGGTTGAGATAATAACACCAGGTGGCCTTGTGCTAACCTGAGAAACTAGAGTCGATAAGATTGAATGGATAAATTTAAGGAAATTATAAATACCTTGCTAAACATAAATAAGAAAGGAGGAGATAGATAAATTGATACTATATTTTGATACTATATTTTAAAACTTGGATGAAAAATTAAACAATTAGCTTATATATTATAAATGTGGAGTAGTGGAAACGAATAAATTATGTTGACGCAGAGTTGGGTGATAGAAATTGAGTTGGTGATGTCTACTTACTTGGTGTGATGTCGGAATTGTAAGACAACGTTAGGTCGAGACTTAAGAACTGTTATTGAGATAATCAATAGTACGTTGAAACGATAGTGATCGGATAAGCCGTGAAAAAGTCATGATTCGTAGTATGAAGAAACTAAGTGGAAAGAATACATAATAAGTATGCTTCAATATCCTTAAGATGAATTAATAAGCAACATAAGTGAAATGAGAGGTTATTATGAAAGTCAACTTTTAAGGAGAAATGTTAAGATAATTTAAGGAATAAGTATTAGACGTATGGACGACGATTAAATAGAAAGTGTGGAGATCCCTATAGAGTAAGATAACTAATATTGCAGGGATGTCCTTAGTAAATCAGCTATTTAAATAATTGCGCTAGTGTACGATAAAACTATTATAAGAAGAATAGAACTTGTATAAAAAAGAACTGATAGAGTGAGCTCGAATAACCCTGCGATACTTTAGACAACAGGAGTTACAAGATAATTTTTCTTGAAATTTTG